AGGAGGGGAGAGAGGAAGTGAGTGGTGGGATGGGGAAAGAAGAGAGGAGAGAGAGAGAAGAGATGAGAGATGAGTTTTATAGAGATTTGTATTTTTGTATTGTTGTTTGGTAGTATGTGAGAGGAGTATGATGATTTCTTATTTTGAGAGAGTTGTGGTATGTGATGAGAGGAGTGTATTGGTATTTGGAGAGAAGATTTTTGTTCTCTATATAATTGTCTATATATATTATTTGTCGTATTTGATGTTTATTATATCATTATATATGGTCATGATAAACTATAATATATCAAATATGAGATATATATATATATGAATGAAGAGAGAGAAGAATGAGAGAATATTATATTATTAGATGAGGAGAGAGAGAGAGGAATGGTGATGGGAGAAGAAGAGAAGAGGAGAGAGAGAGAATGAGAGAAGGGAAGACGAGAGAAGTAATGGAGAAAGAGAGAGGAGGAGATGAGAGGAAGGGAGAAAGAGAAGGGAGTGAGAGAAGAGATAGAGAGGAAGGGAGAGAGGGGACAGAGAGAAAGAAGAGAGAGAGAGGAAGGGAAGAGAGGAAGGGAGAGAAGAGAGAGAGAGGAGGAAAGAGAAGAGAGAAGGAGAGAAGGAGAGGAAGAGAGAGAAGAGAGAAAGTGGAAGAGAGAGAGGAAGGGAGAGAGAGAGAAGGAAGAGAGGGAGAGAGAGGAGAGAGAAAAGAGAGGAAGAGAGAGAGAGAGAGGAGAGAGAGAGAAGAGAGAGAGAGGGAAAGACGAGAGGGAGAGAGAGAGAGAGAGAGAAGATGGAGAGAGAGGGAGAGAAGAGAGAGAGAGGAGAAGAGAGAATGAGAGAGAGAGAGAGAGAGAAGAGAGAGAGAGAGAGAGAGAGAGAGAGAGAGAAAGAGAGAGAGAGAGAGAGAAACGAAAGACAGAGAGACAGACAGTCAGAGAGGGAGACAGAGATATAGATAGATAGATAGAGAAGAGAGAGAGATTACATACGTAAATATTTACACCCTGCACATTTATCGTGGTAAGAGTGAATAGTATTTTATCCTTTTTCCTGTCATGAACCAATATTTCATAAACACATGATAATCGCATTCTTCTTAATTTTCATTTTATTTAATAGTCTTATTTAATATTACTTGGATTATGTATTTTCTCGTTGAAGTAATATCGTTGTTAATAAGATTTTTCATCGGAATTTTGCGCTGCCTGTGTTATCTTCGCTAATGGTTGTGCATACTATCTTTGCACTTTGGTGGATGTTGCCCAAACACTTTATAAGTATATGAAGATATATTCATACATACATCTATCTATCTATTCATACATCTATCTAAAGACATATATTATATTATAGTATATACCCACACACACACAACACACCATACATCACAAATATGCGATCAGGTGTTCCATTTTACGTGCGTTGTGCACGGCTACTGTGTGTTGGGGTATAGTTTAATTATCTAAACACACCACACACACACAAAACCACATACACACCCACATGGGTGGTGTCATCTGTGTGTGCGGACGTGTGAGTGCCGGTATGACCGTGTATCGTGGTGAGGTGTGGCTGGTGGTATTTTCAGGCATGTGTGTGTGATATATTAAAACACACACACACATATAAATTATGTCATGTTGTCTTACGTGTTGGAATGCGTAGATGATCGTGTGAGTATTGTTTGTGTGTGTCTGTATGCACTGCTGTTTCACGTGTTGTATTATGTGTAGTGTGTGTAGTGTTGGCGTGTTTTGTCTCAATGCCGTGAGTGCCTCTTGTGTGTTGTGGGTTTCGCTCGTGCTCCATGTCTCGTCTGTCTCGTGCGGTTGTGGTGTGCGCTGTATGTGTTGTATTGTCTTTTTTCTGTCTGCCTCTCTCTCCTCTCTCTCTCTCTTTGATATATAATATATCAGTCATGTGTCGTGCTGTGTTGTGATATGCATGTATGTATATACTCTATTATATATATCATATTATTAACTATCTCTATCATTATATTATATATCTATGACACTATATATACATTATATATATATAACTGTATATAATATATTAACTCAGATATCTATAATCATATTTCTTATATACCTTAACCATTACTCTTACATCTCATACAATTTACCATCATCATGCTTAATATTTATATCTCTATATCTCATTCTTATCCATCCTTATATATCTATTCATTATAATATATATATATTATTCTATCTCTATCTCTTATACTATATATTATATATATAAGTATGCTTTCCTCAATATTACTATTGAATGAAACAGTCACGCAAGTCTTTGTTCTTCATACAAAGATGCAAAAGGTGATAGTGAAATCTCACGCTCTTTATGCGCAGAGTTGTGTCCATTTCGGTTTCCTTTCCTGAACTTTTAAATTAAAAATAAAAATGTACTTTGTGAACCTGAATAGAAACAAGTGTCCTAGTATTATGTGTATGATTAACATAAACATGAAACTCCCCTGTCCGAAACGGCCCAGTGGCGCCATTTCTGATGAGCTGAAGTACGTCATAAGAAACTTTTCTGAGAAATATGGAGATCGTGTTCTCTCCAAAGAGTCACTTTATTTTCTGAAAGAGAGGGAAAGAAAAGAAGGGGGAAAAAGTAACATTTAAGAAACCCCTTTTTATTTCCAGAGTCAAAACTGAGATGATGAGATTTTCTTTTATTTCAAACTTTCCCCTCCCCTTCACATCCTCGGCTAGATGTCCAAAACAAAAAAGCTTCCCTGAGCAACCGAGGGCTCGAACAAACCTAAAACCTTGTCTTTTTCCCTACCACAAAGAGCGCCAATTTTCAGACAACATTGGCCACGCTCTGGGGAAGGCTGTCTCTAATTGTTTCAACTCTAACTTGTAATCCGCAGATCAAACACGGAGCATTGTTATGGAAATCTGGGCTCCAAGCCTTTCACCAAACAGCACGCGGACTCCCCTGCCCTAATTGATACACCAGAGCGAGCTAATTTCCATACATAGTTAAGACAACATCTTATTCTCTCGGTGGATTACGTCCGATTTGTTGTAGACCTGCGCTGCTGCTGTTTCACAAAGCTCGCTCGGCGGCAGCCCACTTCGGCTAAGGATATTCAATTAAATGTTTGCACAATAAAAAACGTATTTATTTCAATCTTATGGAAACTCATGTTTGCTCTAAAACGAAATACATATTGCAAGACGAGGCGCATGAAGTGTAAATATCAATGACACATTTACTGAAGATTGATCTCGAACGCCCCCTCCTTATTGGTCGATGTTATACCCTCTCCCTCACCGGTATTGGCTGCGAGAACGGCGAAACTGACCAATGGGAAACCGTGTATGAAAGAGAGCAATGGTCGTCCCTCATTGGATCAATAGAGAGCTGGCGGAGATCTTGAGGTATTCTTATGACGTCAGAGTTGCATAGCTCAGATCTGGAATGTGTAAGTAACGCGACATGTTGTAAGAATAATTTCCACGGCTTACTTTGCAACTGGGTTTACTTGTTTTATATTGTGTTTGGTAGTGTGTTTTGTTTTTTAATGATTTTTTTTTTTTTTACAATCCGTGGAAAAAGTATGTATTCACAGAGTAAAACCAAATATACTGTATTCTAATTGAATAATATTGCGAGAAAAACATAATCACCAAATAAATTCTTTTCAAAAAAATTCTTCTTTAAGCCCTGCTGGAAAACTGAATGGTCCCCGCCCCCCCCCCCCAATAAACATTCATAATAAAGTGTAAAGTCCCGGTCTGAGGGCGGCGCCTCTCGACTGTGTCAGCGGAATTTCCTACTCATCGTGCGCGGCGACGAATGGAGGTCAAATCAGGGCAATTGCCGGATTCGAGCTTAGGAAACTTCTACTTCCTCCTTACCTCATGCTTATTTAAAACGTCTCTTTTGGCACGCCAGGGTTGTGCAGTGTGTACATGAAGAGGATTTTGTTTTGCTTTAAATCATGCTGTTGTCTTTGAAATCCATACATTTGTCACTCAGAAAGCTCGTGTCATCTAGAAATACAAATCACAACTTGAATAATAATTAATTTTCTCGATTTGATATTGAGAAGACATAAAATAAAATTGGGACACAGAGACACAATCCGACACGATATTACCTGGAGTGACTGGAATCCCACTCGGAGACTTCCTCTAGAAGCTCCAATGCTGTCAAAATGTTTTCTTTTGTGATAAAGACCCTGAGATATATATCAAATGTCTGTTGTTAAGGGTGAACGAACGTAAATATTTTATTATGAAAAAGTATTTGTAATAAAAATAATTCACTGATGGGATAATTTATTCCTCTGTGTATTAATGGAATAAGCTCTAATGAACAGTGAACTTACTTCTTAGAAATACTTATCTTAGAATATACTTAGAAGATTCTATTTTACTCTCCCCTTGATCTAGGAGATTTGGGTTTCCAGATATAGACGAAAGGTCTATTTAGAAAAAAATAGAGAAAGGAAAACAAAAGACAGTAGTTGGATATGTACATTTTATTTCGTTTTATGTAAACATTCATTTCAACACAACAAGGGCATGAACACCATGGAAATGAGAATTTTATTATGTATGAATAAATCATTAGCGATATCCAGCACAGTCTATGGGGAACACTGACAGGCGAAACTACCTACAGAAAATAAGAGGTTTGTACATTATGAACGTCGGCATCTCCAGGAAGGGACTCTGACATCCCCCATTCAGGAAAATCTCTGGTTTAATATGAAAATATGACATCTTTGGAAGTGGATCCTGTGACTAGTATCGACAAACAAGTTTCCAGGTTTAGGATCACAGCTGAACAGTCCCGTATTCTCGCTTCGCTGCAGTTTGCTGAGTTTTGACGTGAAAGATCACCTAAAAAATATAGAAGACTTGTGACTTGAGAATGTGGACTGTTGAGGTGTTCTCTTAAGCATCTACGTAAAAGTTGGATATAAATAGGGGTTCAGAGTTCAGTTTTTTTCATGTGAAGTTGAAATGTGTGTTCCAGTTTATAAGCATTTTCGGGCATGTTGGTTCTGAACAGATTTCCTATTTTTCTCTCTTTAATTCTTCAGATTTACAGAAAAGGTTTCACAGACTAGAAAGGAAAAACAATATTCAGGGACGATTTACAGGAGGTTAGGTACAGCACATCCGAGTCAGGTCTCGAATGTGGCGGCGTGACGTCACAGGTACAGTGTAAACAAAGCCGACAATGGTATAATTCATCACAATAACGGGGTCCGAACTTCTACACCTAGTCATTATCAATTCATTATTTACACATATTTACAACTTGCTCGAGGAGGCGCCCGGAGAAGGCTCCCCCTTTAAGTACTGGAAGATTAAAAAACATTTCTAAGATACTGGGCCCGACTCTTCCTCTTGCAGCCGACAGGAGTCGGCGGCTACGACGAGGGTCTCTGAAGTCGGGCGGCGCGGACTGACTGGCTCGTCCTCGGACCCGGGTTCTGGCCAGCCCTCCCGCGCCGGCCGGCCGGGGCCTGGCGGGGACGGCGAGCGCTCTACGCAGGCGCTCTTTCGCCCGAAGACTTCGCGCTCCGTCCCGGCCCCGACGAAGGCCCGAGAGCGCGGCGCAGGAGTGCCGCCACGACAAGATTATCGGTCAGGTCACACACACCATGACGTCTTCCTCTCTTGAGGGCGTCCGCAGGCGGCCGGAGGGCCCGAAGAAGTCACTTCGAGCCGCAACAGTTCCTGCTGTCGGCACCTGACCAGTTCACGCGAAATGGCTGCCGGGCCAACATACACCAAGGGTAACTTGACTAGATCACGACTACATATACAATGGATATCACTTATGAAGTGGGATGATATTTGCCCACGTGAGACTAGAGGGCGGGACTAGACGAGTAAACTGGCACGGAGCTGCAGCTAAGCTTACTTCCCACAGGATCCTGCAGGGGTCATCACAGCAGCCCGCGGAATGCAATTCTTTGGTTCTGTTTTGCCTCGCGTGAGTCTGTTCCTGTTCACTCCGAGGTCTCCGCGCCACCGTCAGGGCCCGAGCCTACCCTCTGGTCGCGGGCGGCTCGGGTGATATGCGCGAGGCGACCGCCCTGTGGCTCTCGCCCTCCGCGGCGAAGGGCGGCCTCCACGCCGCAGCGGGACACCTGCCCGCGCTCCCTGCCGACAGGACGCCGCGAACCAAGAAGGGACTGGCGCGGCAGCGGCGCCACGCACTTTGCATGGCGCTGGTGTCTTGTCACATGGAAATATTTAGTCTTTGGACATTTACAGTTTTGGTTGTTGCATTACTTTAGCATGTTCGTCTCCACAAGTTCTTATTCATCAGTGAGTTACATATAATCTAACACTTTAAGATTTTGCTCACTGATGGATTTTGTTCACTGATCCTCCAAACTGGTTACCTGCTGAAAGGTGGAGGACCAATCAGGAAGCGAGACGGAGTCACGTGACTGTTGCGTGCACCAATTGGAGAAGAGAGACTGTCATGCGTAATGCGGATAGGCTGGAAAGACAGATGTGTGACGTCATGTGGGATGGGTGGTGCGTCATGGAATGTCCCGAAGCAGCGGCGATGTTGGAGTAGAGGTTCGCGCCGGGGTTGGTCCAGTACGACGTCGGCGAAGGGAATATGCTCGCTGGCGAAGGAGGCAAGGGCCTGGGTCAGTAACACGAAGCCTGCTAGGAAACACAGCGGAACGTAACTAAACACGGGGAAAACACCTGAACGTATAACACAAGCGAATAACCACCACCGACAATACATCGTTTCAATCATGACAAAACAAAGAAAAATGTCCACAAAGAACAGAAAACGTTTTCCCACAAACGTTTCCCCACAAAGAGCACGGAGAGCAACTAACCTGGTGGAGAGGGTTGATGCGCTGTGTTGCGTCCTAGCAAAGTGTACTGCATTAGAAGTTTGAAGCTTAAAGAGTGGGATGGAATTAATACGAAAAGTGGGTGGCTACGAAACATGAAGAGGTCGCGCTGCTACTTGTATGCTGCCGCTGCGAGTATGGGCGTCTGCGCCGGGCAGCTGAGGTGGTGGCGCGGCAGAGGCGCCTGAGCGATAGATACGACACTATGTAAGAGACTGCGAAGCGTTCCAGTAACACCTTACAGATCATGATATGTTATACTTGAAACAAGTAGTATCTGGGAGGATTAACTGCAGAAGGGGTCGTGAGCTGCTGTACGTACACGCAAAATAGTGTTGTGTTGATATGGAGTGTAATAGGCTACATCATTTCTACTTTCTGTACTCTCTTTCTATCTAGTACTCATCCTAAGTACTGATCTAGCTTCTCTCCCTCGATCCCTCTCATGGCCTCCCCGAACTCTGCTGCTTTCTGCTCTCTCCTCCCTCACGTCTCTCCTCACTCTTCTCTTTCACTCTCTCCTCGTCCGCGCTCTCTCTCTCCTATACTGATGGTATATCTCCTAGATCATCTTCTTCGCCTCTCCTCCCCGCGCTCTCTCTCTCCACTTGCCTCCCAACACTCGTATAATCTCTTCTTTCCCCCACTCTTCTGTCTTCACATCGTACCTTCTATTCTACCTACATCTTTCCCCACTCTCCTTCCCTCCCTCCTCTTTTTCCTTCTCTTTAACTGTTCTCCTCTTCTCATACTTTTACCTCTCCTCTTTAACTCTTTCTTTCCTCTCGCTCCCTTCCTCTTCTACACATCTCTCTCTCCTCAACTTCTGCTTACTCTCTTAACTTTCTTTCCCCCTCCTTAACTCTCTCTTCTCTTAACGCCCTTCTCTCCCCTCTAACGCCTCTCGCCTCCCTCTTTAACTCTCTTTCCCCCTCCCTCCTCTTTTTAACTCTCTCCCCTCCCTCATTTAACCCTCTTTCCTCTTTAACGCTCTCTTTCCCTTTCTCGTTAATGCTCTTTTTTTCCTCTTTAACGCTTTTTCCCTCTTTAACGCTCTTTTCCCCCTCTCCTTTTAACTCTCTCTTTCCCCCTCTTTAACTCTCTCTCTTCTTTCTCTTTAACGCTCTCTTTTTTCCCTCTTACTCTTTGCTCTCTCTTTCCCCTCTCTTTAACTCTCTCCGCGTCTCACCTGAGTGCTCGGGACAGCTTGTCGTAGTTCATGTTCGGTTTTGACTTCCTCTCGCCCCATCGCCTGGCAACCTCGTCCGGATCCGTGAGTTTGAACTCGCCGTTCGTGCCCTCCCAGGTGATGCAGTTGGCGTTCGAGGAATCGGACAGGAGCTCCAGGAGGAACTGCCAGAGCTGGATCTGTCCCGAACCTGGAGGCGGGAGACGAGGGGTTAGTTGGTGTTGTTGGGGGGCTGTGTGTTGGGCGAAAATGTGTGTCTCTCTCTCTTAACTCTCTCTCTTAATCTGTCCCTTCTCTCTCTCTTCTCTTCTCTCTGTCTCTGTTTCTCTCTCTTCACTCTTCTCTCTGTCCTCTGTCTCTCTTCTCTCTCTCCTCTCTCTCTTCGTCCTCTGGTTCTTCTCTCTTTTCTCTCTGTCCTCCTCTCTCGCTCCTCTCTCTCTGCTTCTGTCTTTCCCTCTGTCTTATCAAGTGTCTCTCTCCTTCTCTCCTTTTCTCTCTCTCCTCTCCTCTCTCTCCTCTCTCTCTCTCTCTCTCTCTCCTCTCTCTCTTCCTCTTACCTCCCTCTCTCTCTCTAATCTCTTCTCTCCCTTTCTCTTATATGTCTTGGCACACACGCATGTGTACAGACAGACACGCAAACACACACAACACGCGCGGCAAACACACAATACACACACACACACACACACACAAACATAACACACACGCATAAACACACACACACACACACACACACACATAACCACACACACACACACACACACCACACACAACACACATATATATATATATATATTAATATATATATATATATATATTATAATATATATATATATATATATATATATATATATATATATATATATATATATATATATATATATTTAAATACATATGCAAATAGACAACAGAAGCCCTCGCGATGCCTCACCTGAGCTGGCCAGGCGGCTGCTGGTCGGACCGAACATCTGGTAGGGATCTGTGGGTGAAGAAGGACTTGGTTGGTACTTTGGGAGAAGGAAGAAGGAGGGAAGAAGAGAGAGAGAGAGAGAGAGAGGAGAGAGAGAGAGAGAGAAGAGAGGAGGAGAGGAGAGGAGAGAGAGAGAGAGAGAGAGAGAGAGAGAGAGAGAGAGAGAGAGAGGAGGAAGAGAGAGAGAGAGAGAGAGAGAGAGAGGAGAAGAGAGAGAGAGAGAGAGGAGAGAGAGAGAGAGAGAGAGATAGAGAGTTGGAAAGGCAACAAAAAGAGAGACTAATATTAAAGCGAAAGAAAAGGAGAAACAATCTGAAAAGATTAACGCTGAAAATTGGCGGCTCTTTTGCAGCAGTGATGCTAATGGCGATGATTATGATTATGGTTATGATAATGATGGCATTATTGGCGATAAAAGCGAGCAATAACAAAATAGAAAGGAAAAAGAGCAGCAGACACCGGCGATAACAATACCAGCCGCCGGGACCCCAGCGCCGCCGCCATCCAAATAACGCCACAGGAAATCGCCGAAGAGAGAGGCGGAAGGCGCCGGAGGAGGGGCGGCCCGGCCGTGGTGGGCGTATCTGTGCCATTAGCGTCCGTGATGGCGGCGTTACGGGCGCGCGGGCGGCGCCACAGCCCCGCTAATGGCGACGCTCCGGCCATCTGGAGGCGCGGTGCCAGCGCTTCATCGCCTCCGGCCATTCAGCGCCTCAGCCTCCAGCCATTCATCTCCCGCGGCTCCTTCGGCGACGTCGGTGCCGAAGGGGGCCCGGCGCCCCCTCGCCCCCTCGTGCGCTGCGCTCCTTCCTTGCGCCCTTTGGAGGAGGCGCCGAGGCCTGGCGTCCTTCCCCGCGCGCTGGAAAGGCCCCCCCCCCAATCCCCAGCCATTCCTCTCTACCTTTTTTCTTTCTCCCCTATTCCTGTTCCCCATTACTGAATATCTCCTTCCCTCCCCTCCCCTCCGCCCCCCCCCCGGCCCCTCTTCTCCCAATTCCCATTCGGGCGCGGTCCCGTTAAAAGTCTGTTCAGCTTCTTTTTCAAACACTCGGAGGCAGTCAGGGCTGAAAATGTCTAAGACGAGGTCCAACACTTCACGGGGCGGAGGGGGGCGGGGAGGGGGGGGGAGGGGGCGGAGGGGGGCGGGGAGGGGGAGGGGGGGGGGAGGAGGGGAAGTGAGGGAGGGAGGAGCAGGAGGAGGAGGAGGAAGAGGAGGAAGGAGGGGGAAGGAGGAACAGGAGAACGGAGGTCGAAGAACTCCAGAACGGAGAACCTTCCATCGACCTCCTAACCTTACGCCTTCCCAAAAATTAAAGTCATATGAGGTTATACGACGAAAAAAAAACACACAAAACACATAGCCCAGGTCGACCAACTTTCAGCCTAGCGAAAAGACGAGAGAGAGAGAGAAAAGAGAGAGAGAGAGAAAAGGAATGGATGAAGCGAAACGAAAAGGCACGAAAGCGGGTGAGACGAAGAGGGCGAGAAGGCGGCGGTCGGATTTCGGTAAAGAATCTTGAGGTCGCATCTGCATCTTCGATGAGCCACAGTAGTATTTGTTGAGCCGTTTGTTACCTACTGTTCAGCCTCGCTCTGGCCCTTCGCCTTGTCGCCCTGTCCTTGTTTTAGCGTCGTGTTTGTTATTCATTCATTCGTACGTTCTCTAGTTGTTTTTTTTTAACCTGATTTTTTTATTTGTCTTTTATTTTGATTCTGTGCTTGGTTTATTGCTTCGTATATTCGTGTGTTCTTTGTCTTTTTGTTTTATTATTGTTTTTTTGGGGGGGCTTATTTCAGTCTACGTTCTACGTGTTCTTTCTCCTTTGTTTTATTGTTGTGTTTGGGTTATTCCCTTGTACATTCTCTATGTTCTTTTTCTTTTGTTTTATTTATATGTACTTACCTTATTCCTTCCTTCAGTCCCTCTGTTTTTTATTATTTTTTCCATGCTTGGTTTCTTTCACACTTTCTTGGTCCAAGTCTTCGAATTATGAAAGATCTCTCTTTGTCTTTATTTATTTATTTATTTATTATTTCCATCATGGCGCCTCCGATTCCTCGCTCGCCTCTCTACGGAATTTTCTTCGATTTATATAAGACAGTTTATAATTCCCGCCAAAATCTGTTTAGCTTCCTCCAACCGTCTTCCGATTCAAATTCCCTAGAACTTCACGCGATCACTTCACATCTACCGTTTCCGTCATCCCGACCGAACGTAAAAAGAAAACAAACAAAAACAGAAAACAAGTAAAAAAAAGAAAAAAAAGAAAAAAAGAAGAAAGAAAGAAAGAAAGAAAGAAAAAAAAAACAGTGAAAGGAAGAGCGTGTAAGCGAGTCAAGGGGTGGGGGTGGGGGTAGAGGAGGGGGTGAGGAGGGGGTAAGGGGGGTGAGGTAGGGTGTTAGGGATGGGGTAATGAGGGGTGAGGGAAGGGTGAGGTGAGGGTGAGGAGGGGTGAGGGAGGAAGTAAGGGTGGGTGAGGAGGGGGTGAGGGAGGAAGTAAGGGGGGTGAGGAGGGGGTGAGGGAGGAAGTAGGGTGTGAGAGGGTGAGGGAGGAAGGGAGGGTGAGGAAGGGGTGAGAGTAGGGTGACGGAGAAGGTAAAGGAAGAGTGAGAAGGGAGAGGGGGAGGAAGAGGTGAGGGAGGGTGAGGAGGGGGTGAGGGAAGGATGAGGGGGGAGGTAAAGGGAGAGAGGGAGGGACGGAGAGAGGGTAACGGTCTTGATTTACGAAACAAAAACCAGTCCGGAAATGTACATTAGCCCGGGGAGGAAAAAGGGGGTAAAGTTAGGAATCATTTGGAAGGAAGTAATCCAGCTTAACGAGGTTGAACTGAAGGCGGCGGCGCTGAGGCAGGAGGCGGGAAAATTCCTCTTTCTTGCGGGTCGTGTGCACACCTTCGTTCGGTGACGTCACGCTGATGGCCACGCGAGAGAGAGAAGGCAGTTGGACATACACAAACAAACACACAAAGAGATGCATACACACACAGGCACACATACACAGAAGCACGCACGCATTTACATGCATACATGTGCGTCTATGGACACATTCTACAGACACATACATATATAATACACACACACCATACACACATACACACACAACACACACACATATATATATATATATATATATATATATATATAATATATATATATATATATGTGATATTATATATATGTGTGTGTGTGTGTGTGTGTGTGTGTGTGTGTGTGTGTACATATATGCATACACAAACACAAACACACACACACACTACATTACACACAAAACACACACACACACACATATATAATATATATATATATATATATATATATATATATATATATATATATATATATATATATAGCGTGTGTGTAAGGAGAGAGACGCGCTCGGCCGCCCGCAGGAGGCGGAATGGGCGGCGATTAGCCAGGCGGGCGCGGCAGCCGAGCCCATACACCGAATTCTCAATATGATTTTCGAGAAGCCGAGGCGAGAGTCCTCAGCCGGCACTCCAATGCAGACGGAGAAACATTATCATAATGGGATATCGGCGCTATGGGTGCAATAATGGCGTCGCGATTGTTTGCCTTTTTGGGGTTTCTGTTCCTTCGCCCGTCTCGCTCGCGTCCGTGAGGTGGCGCCCCGGTGGAAGGACCGAGTGGGGCTGCCTGGCTGCCATTAAGCGACGATGCAGAACTCAAAATGAATAAAAAGATAATGGAAACAAAAAAGGAAAGGCTAGCCACAATCTCATCCTCATCCTCCTTCTCCTTTCCTCCCTCCCTCCCTCCTCCCGGCACGAAAAAAGAATCCTCCTTCCCAATTTCTGGTGGATTTAGAGGAGAGAGCGTGCGGGCGCGCGGGCGGGCAAGTGTTACGGTTGGCGCGCAGTTCAAACACTCCACTGTTTTATTGGCGCCCGCGGCACACTCTGCGGACCTGCAACGCCGCGCTTCATAATATCAAAGAAAATCAAGAAGATCCAGGCCGCCTCCTCCCCTCCCCCCTTCCCCTTCCCTCCTCCCCCCTCCATGCCTTCCCTCCTCCTGGCTTCCCCCTCCTGCCCTCCCAGCCCTCCTCCCTCTGGCTTTTACTCCCGAGACCTCTCAATAAAAGATGGTGGCTCTTCCTCGGAGCGGCGGCGCGGGGTTGGTGGCGCTGCCGTTTGGTGGGCTGATGCCGCCCTGATTTCGGACTCGGGAAATTCAGGGGGAGGTTGGATACACGTTAAGTTATATGTGTGTGTATGTACGCCCGGGCACGCTCGCTTAGAGGCGCACACAGACATACATAAACTTATGAACTCCCACACACAGTCATAAACGCAGTCATACACACACTTGTATACAAAGATAGATAGATAGAGGAGAGAGAGAGGAGAGAGAGAGAGAGAGAGAGAGAGAGAGAGAGAGAGAGAGAGAGAGAGAGAGAGAGAGAGAGAGAGAGAGAGAGAGAGAGAGAGAGAGAGAGAAGAGAGAGAGAGAGAAAAGAGGGGAGCGAAGAGGAAAGACACAGTAAATACAATAGCAACTGCTTTCCAGTCTCTCCTCACTATCTGTCTTCTTCTCCCCTCTCTCATCCTTCCTTCTTTCTTCCCTAATTCAGTTCACGTTTTACCGTTTTTCACTCCTCTCTTCGGTTCCTTCCTCCCTCTTCGTCTGCCTTTCCTTGCTTGCCCCGAAGCCCTGGGGTCTTTCCTCACTTTTGCTGTCTTCCCTTTCCTTCCTTCCCCTCTTTCTTTTACTGTCTTTCGTCTTTCTCTTCCTCCAATTCTTTCTTTTATTCTCTTGTTCTGTCGATGTTTTTTTTCTGATACCCTTTGAGTATCTGTTCGTCTGCCTCTCTCTCTCTCTCTCCCTCCCTCCCTTTCTCTCGCTCTCTCTCTCTCTCCCACCCTCCTCCTCTCTCTCTCTCCCTCTCTCTCTCTCTCCCTCCCTTTCTCTCTCTCTCTCCTCCCTCCCTCCCTTCCCCACCTTTCTCCCTTTCTCCCTCCCTCCTTTTCTCTCCTCCCCCTCCCTCTCT